CAATTAAATACCTATATATACTTCTTTCAACTTTTGACGAAATTGTGTCATTCAATTTTTAGACACATAAAATAAAGTAAAAAAAAAAAATTAATTTTTTTATTGCGAAATAAACACTCTTAGAAAAAGAATAGTTATTTCTTAAAAAAAAAATGCGGCGAGTGTTTGTGAACGAGACAAAATGCGCAGGAAAACTCTTCGATGTCAAGAAAAGTTTTTTTGCCCTCTTTGCTTAGCATATAGTGTGGGAAGATTTTAACGTGTTTTTCTTTCGTACATTGAAAAGAAAAAAATTGTCACTAAGTTATTAATAAGTATGCACTCATTTATTCATTTATCATTACATTGATAAAATCTCAATTTAAATTGGAAATTGGTATTTAATTATTCACAATGAAAGTTCTCAAAATTTTTTCTTTCTCAAATTTTCTAAATAAATTTAATCTTTTCCTTTACATACTTTAAAATTCAAATCAAGGTAAACAATTTTTCTTGTTTTTCTCCGACGTCAAATAAGCGCGAAATATTGTTCTCATTGCTTTATTTATTTATTTTTTGAATTTGAGAGGTTACTTTTTTTACTTACTGGTGAACAGCTTGTGATGCCTTGAGAACCGAAGAAATATTCACGACCAAAAACAACCACAGCTGTATGCCAAACTCCATCGATCCTACGGCCTATGTGAAATTAAATATTAAACTTTGACAGACATTAGAATGAAATGATTAAAAGTTTTACCCAATAAAATTGGTGACATCATCGCAGCCATTCCTTGCGTCATATCGTAAATATGCAGCTCTACATTTTGACATCCAAAATCTTCGTCCATTTTTGTTATTACACTGAAATCTGTGAAAAAAAAATTCTTTGTTAAATTATAGAGTGAAATATCATTTAAAATTCTCAAATTAAGAACAAAGACTGTGAAGGTCAATCACTTTAAGTCTGTTTACATATCGAATCAAAGAAGAATATGCTAAGTTTGTAATCTGAAGGAGTACTTGATTTTCAATTGAAAACTAATCCATTGTATTTATATTGGCATTGAAGAAACATAACTTCATATATTGATTAGGTTATATTTCCTATGCATATATTAAATTTTTTATACCACTTGTTTGAAATATATATTTTATCGATATGTGCAAGCCAATAAATTTTAAAAGAACTTTAAGTTATTGTTGCAATTTATTTTCACCATTAAAACTCAAACTATTTCGTTCCTCACATTCATTTTCAATGTACTGAAGTTTATAAATAAAGTTTTTACAGTAAACGTTACGTAAAATCAATTCACCTGATTTTCTAACTAAATTATACATATATACACTTTAGTATATATGTTGATATGTATATACAAATATACTCCAGATGACTACAAGATAAGATGATGTCTCGGTATTTTTTATTTTGGCAAAAAACTAGTTCAATAATCAACAAACTTTATGTTGCATTTTTTATAAATGCGGCGATTAAAATGATCTTGAAGCTCGTTTTTACCATACGGTTGAGTTATTTTAACATAGAATATTAATCTTATACTTATTTCAAATAAGTGAGTTTCAACAATTTTTCTTATAATCAGAAATCTATCACAAGTCTTTTGAGAATTTCTTCCTCATCACAACGACTCAATATTACATTTCACACCGTTTCAACTCAGTGTTTAAGTTCCACTGAATGAAAAACTTATTCATACTTGTAATAATTTAGATTTTTTTTCTTTCGCAACGACAAGAAGCACCTTAAAGTATATATAAGTCGCTTGTTAATTGTAGCGAAATGATAATGGTTTCATGATTGAAGCATTTGAGACTAAAGAGCAACTAATCTAGATCATTAGCCAAATATCGAATCTTTGTGTTTATTTTTAAATACCTTAGGTTAGCGCGTCCAAGCGAAATAAACACTTCATCAAATTTAACATGGTCACGCAATAATTTAGTGATCTTAAATCTTAGCAAAGTGACCAAGGAATGCATTATTTATGAAGGCAGCAATATTACTCGCTATACAGCTCGCTGAATTAAATTTAAACACGATCAAACTTAACTTGAAAAACGTAAAAAACTTAGGATCAAACTCGTACGTCATAAAAGATTTAGTAATTTAAATGTGTGAACATGTTTTTGCGTTAAGATTTTTATCACAAAACGAAGGTTTTTCGTAAAGACGTCATGAAAAAAGAAAGTAAATCATTTTTCTAAAAATACATCGTTTGAGTTTAGTGTATTTTAATAATATTTACAAGTTTTGCCTTTTAAAGGTGATAAAAAAAATACCAAATGACATTTTATATGTTTGAAGTCAGTTCAAGACGAACGAAATAATTAAGGATTTCAAGATTAAGGTCTCAAAATTAAGAATATTCATATATATACGCAAAATTTCTATCCCAATGCTAGTTGCGAAGTTTTATCATCAGCGTAATAAATAAATAATGATTACTAAGAATAAATAGAATGAAATTAAATAATCTGAATCGTCATTTTTTGATCATGATTCGACAAAATATAAATTTTTACGAATTTCTTTCTTATATGAAAAAGTTTACTTACGTGTAAGCTGTACACTACTGCCTAGAAAGCACAAGGTTTTTAATTGATATTTAAAGTGAGTGTCAATTTGTGATACATAAAAGGGATATTTTTTAACATTTTTGATCAAAAAAGGGTTTTCGATATTTACTTCTGCTTTGTTTACTAAGTGTCTTACCTCTTCATTCTATACAAAAGTATTACACCCCTTTCTTCATAAAAGGGAATACGTTTAGTTGTTTAGTTAACAAAACTGTTTTGAAAAAACTGTTTTTGTTTGCTTAAGCACATAAAAATATAATTTTATGACAATTAATCAATTATATTTATTCTTTATATTGCTATTTTAAATGAAAATATGTAGTTAATAATTAGTATATTTATAGTAATAGTTAATAATAATAATTACTGACAGATATTAACATGACTTCGATTTTTAAATTATGAATATTTTTTATTTTGATTTTTTGTAAAGAGAATGAATTGTAAAGATTTTAAAATTCGTTTCAATAACATGAATGTCTTTATGATGTTTTCATTTTTACTTCTGGATATGTAAGTAATTTTATTCGCAAGATAGCTCAAAAAAGCGTAAAAGTGTTATAAATATGGTCAGGAAGATTGTACTTATGAAAAAGTATGACACATGAGTTTACAAAAGGTCTTCAAAGCTGAAATTAGATAGTTCCCTATAGACTTTATTCAAAAATAGATACGACGCCAGATAAAGCATACGCAGTGATGATAGTATTCGGCTTTAAAACTTTGTGAGCATGGAAAGAGTAATCGTGAACAGGATCATTTTCAGATTTGATTGACAAAAATTTTAATTCGTCAAAACTCAGGTGGAACAGAATTTAAAATACAATAGAATTAAAGAAAAAAATTAATTCAACTTTTAACTTAAAAATCCTTTCATTTATTGATGTAAACGAAGAAAATAATTAAGCTGATTTGTTTTTTTTAATTGAACAATTGACATATTCGAAAAACTGAATATAAAAGTAATAGTTCTCTCTCTCTCTCCCTCACCCTCTCTTGCTTTCTGAAAGTTTGGACAAAGAATCAAAGAATATAAACAGAATATGCAATCATATAGATAAATAATTAAATATATCAATATCAATTTAAAAAATAATAGCTTTAATTAAATGATAGCTATATAAAGACAATT